GTAGTCGAGGCCATCGGTGGACGACGAGGCAATTGGGACCTGGTCAGGCGCGAAAACAAAGGACGGCCGTTGGGGAATGACCTCGGCAAAGCCTGCGGCACGCGCCCAACTGCGGGTGAAGGAGCGGATACTGTTAACGCCGCCGATATCTGTGATGGCGGCAAGGTGCCGCGTTACTGAAGATCTGTAGGAGGGGTTGGTTAGCGGGGTGAACTGAGTGTGTCGTGCGCCGCGTTGCAGCAACAGAGACAACGGCAGCAAGCTGACGTCAATAATCTGCTACTCGTCTCGGGTCAGGAATAACAACCTTCTGCGGCGAAGTCCGTGAGAACTGCTGCCGTAGTCACCGTCGTCATCTTCTCCCAGGAGCGACTGGTCCTCAGCGACGGCATTGGAGTCGATACTCACGGAGCGCTGGGGGGAGGCGCCCCGTTCGTATTCGTCCCAGGTGGACGGGTTTCTCGAGGGCATGGGGAAAAGCTCGTGGATTCCAGCAACAACAAAGGTTGGTTAAAGTCGTTTCCACGGCGTTCTTTTTCCACAACGACGAATCGAATGAAAGACGGTCGCGACAGGAACAGAGGAAGAGAGAGAGAGAGAAAGAAGAGGAGGGAGAGGGAAGAAAGAAAAATCTGTGGTCGACTCTTTGGGCAGGGTAGACGGTCGCGACTGGGCTATTGTTCGCGCGGGCGTTTTGAGCCTTGGAGGTGGTATATAAACCTGGTCGGGACGGAGTAGTAGCACACGGCGTGAGCGCGGCACCTTACTGAGTAGGTACGGGATTTAGTAGTGTAAGGTACCTTAGGTAGTAGCAGGTCGAAAAGACCGTGTATCGATAAAAGGCAAATGTGCCTTATTCCTCTTACGCACCCCAAGCCCAAAGCAAGCAAAGGCTGCAAAGCAAAACCAAGGCACCCCTACTAAGGCCGGCCCCAAGTGGAGTCGTTGCGGGAGATGAGATGGGTTGCTAGTGCAAGTGGGTTGTCGGAAGCGCAGGTTGGGTCTTGTCGCAAGTGTCTGCTGAGGTCCGACTGGGTTTTTTCTATCCTGTCTGGCTCCAGTCTCCACGTCCAAGTGGATAGGAGGGCGGAACGACAGAGATAACGGGCAGTGATTGTTACGTCGTGGCGTTAGGAAGAACTTTGAACTTGGGTTGTTCAAGACAAGAAGACCCAAGAGTCGAATGGATGGGTGTTGGCATACTCGGTACGCTATTTGTGGCCGTATGTGTACTAGGTAGTTTGCCGTGGGTCACGAGTAAGTAAGAAGTTTGGCGGGAGGAAAGCTGGAGAAAAAATTGGAAGGAGGACGAAGGTAAAGTTGGCCTGTTAATGTTGAAAAGCCAAGGAAGGAACCCTCCTTCTCAACTTCTCAATCGAGTACTCAGTAAGGTAAGGTACAAGGTAAGATACATGAGAGGGACCACCACGATCCTCAGGTCAGAAAAGGCCAATGCTTCTTTTGCCTCTTTCCACTCTCTCTTACCTTTCAAAAGGTTCTGATGAAGAGGTAAACCGTTAACGCCCCCAAGGTGTCCAGGTGCCTTATCCCAGGTAGGTCAGTAGCGAGTGTAGCCAGGACTTTGGCATCTTGGAATCGAACATACTGACACAGGTAACTTTCTAATTCTTAGGTAAGGTTGGGTTGGGGTCCTGGGGGGCAGGCTGGCTATCGCCGGCCATATCTGCAGATATGTCATGACATGCATTAACGGAATCCGAGAAGGCAACCCGAGACTACGACGACGAATAGCAGTCGAGAGATGGCTCGGTGCGGGAGCAGAATGAGAGGATCGAGAGGGGTTCCTCTGCCGAGAAGCGGAAGTGATTTTGAGGCATCAACTGGCAACTGCCTAATCACCAACAGGGAAACGCAGGGGAGATATGGGCGACAGAGGGGCTCACAGGAGAAAGTAAAGCAAAGTCAGCTGGACGTCACAACCTTTGATTCTCATGACGCCGTCTGCATCGTCAAAAGTTGGTCGGCTTATCGCGCCGGCGTCTCTGGTTGGACAATGGCAGGGCCTGTTGCAGGGCCTTTGCAGCGGCCAGAACCTGCAAACTTTCAAACTTGAACCAACCCTGGCTCCGCACTCTCCACTACCACCTGGGTAGCACAACCCCTCGACCCTCCCGGCTTGCTGCGCCGGTCAGCCTGCTTCTCTTCTCTGCGCCTCTCTTTTAACCATACCGTCCCAAGGTATCACGGTACTGACTACCTAAGGTAAGGTACGAGGTAATAGGTGCCAGACGTCTGCAGTACGTAATGTCGTCCTGCAAGTCTTTCGACATCATCTGCCATTGTCTCTGCTTTTCTTTCTTTTTATTCCTTGCCTCCACATGTTTTGCCTACTTACGGGACGATTGTGGAGTCTCATCATCAAACGGCTGACGGACATTTTCTTAGCTAAGGAGATTGGACAATTCCTATTCCAACTATCACATCCATAATTATAAGGTGACTCTCACTCGATATTCAGCGGCCGCCGGGCTGAAGACCTCGGATATTGATAGATTCCATCCGTCCCTTCAAGATAACCGCCCGAGTCCCCCGCCCAGATCTCTCCGCATCCTATCTCATCTTACCTTACCTTGTTACTCACCGCTATTTGCATACTCCCCCCCCCCCCCCAAAAAAAGGACCACATGACATGTCATCCAAATGCCTTCCTGAGACAGGTTGATGCATGGAGGTTCAGATGTAAATGATGCCATCACCACCCCGCCAAGTAGCTAGTCTAGTACGGTTCTATGTAGTCGACTTCGCAACCTAGACTTTTCCCAAAAGTCAAAAGCAAGAATCCTTGCAACTAATCATCTTCCGCCGAGCCTCTCAATCTTTTACACTACCGCAGTACCCCAGATGCTCGAGCCTCATGTCACATGCCTTCAGCTTTCCCCGTCATCCGAAAAAACCTCGCAACCTTCGAGTATCTCATGACCAGGCCTGTCCCAGAAAAGCAGCTCAACCACATAGATGGTGTTACACCCCCAGGGCCTCGGACGAATTTGCGATGCACAGACTCTGTTGCCTTTTCTTTGTTCCCTCTCGCTATTCCACGAGATCACCGTTGCTCGAGACCTTGCCCTACGTTACAGGATAGATGTCTCTAGGGATTAGTACACGCGATAGCGTACGTTGACTGACTCTCATCTGCGCCGGCCGCTGGTCCTGTCCCACGTAGCATGCGCCTCAAGCCTCCTCTGTCTAGACGTGTGCCCCTCTCTGAAGAGGACGAGGAAATGATACAAAGAAGGATAGAGAATGATATGGAGGGCAAATTTGAGGCCTCATGATGATCGGTACATACTGTTTCCTAAGAAGATGTAATTAACCTTCGCCAGGTACGTTACTTGAGACTAACCACGCTCCGATCCGAACCAAATCGATCAACATCCGGTCCGTCGTTGCTTCTTTTTTTTTTTTTTTTTTTGAAAGTGCACGGTCCCCCTATCATATTTCGTACACCACTTGCACTCTCACCTTACCAACCACAACCAAGAGTACCTGTAGTATCAGACTTTTAGATTCGCGAGCATCACATCTGACAGCAGCCTTCCACGCCTCACACTCTAGAAAGTCAATTCGCTTTAGCTACTCCATTTTACTCAGAGGGTCATAATTACTAGCGCGCCAAAGGAAAAAAAAAACAAAACGAAAAAAGCAAATCTCATGACATGAAGACAACCACAACCACAACCGCCGCAACAGCAGCGCAAACAACACCCAACGGAGAAACAACCCCAATCGCAACACTCGTCCCCGTCCTCGCCATCCTCGACAGCTTCAACCACCGCAACAAGAGCCAGCACCGCGTAGCCCGCTGGTGGTCCGCCTTTGGCCTCCTCCGCCGCGCCGTCCGCCGCCTGCACGACGCCCTCGAAGCCCAGGCCCGTCACCGGCGCGCCCTCAGCTTCAAGTCAAAGTCCTCTTCTTCGTCCTCCTCGAAGAAGTCTGCCGCAGCTGCTGGGGGTAAGCCCACCGGCAGCGCTGAACGTCGTCAGAATGCGCTAGACGAAGATGTCGCTGCTAGGGTGCGGATGCTGCTAGAATCCACCATCCCCTCGTCCTTCTCGTGAGTCCTTACCTTTCCTTCATTGATATGCACCTATTACCGATATTGACCCGAGGACTACAGAGCCTTTACACAACTAGCAGCAGACAACCAACACGCCGCCCTAGGCCTGGTCCTCCTAGGTCTCCTAGCACGCATCAACTCAGCCGTCACACTCCTAGCTCCTACTCCTGCTCCTGCTCCTCGGGAAAAGGCCACACCAGCAGGCAATGTCACTACTACCTCTTTATCATCTTCAGCAACCAAAAGTGCTGCTGCAGTCGCCGTGGCAGATGAGAGGCATCACCAGCAGCAGCAACAACAATCCGATTCAAAGGGTCTCGGAGTGGCCGTCTCTCGGGACCAACTCAAGCTTGCTGCGAAACCTTTAGATCACCACCCATCATCATCACGAAATATCGATGAAACATCACCCGCCATCCCTCAAAAGAAACGCAAGTTGGCGAATGTGCCTCCTCTTGAGACTAAATCTAGCAAGCCAGCAAAGGAGGAAAAGCCAGTAAAGAAGAAGAAAAGGGCAAAAAAGACGGATGACTTTTCCGATTTATTCAGTTCCCTCATGTAGAGACATTCACGTAACAAAGATTCCCCAACAACACCAAACAATACATAATATAGAGACAGGAGTCATGTAAAGCTTCAAATATTTCATTAGCGACGGCTATTTGCTACGAGATTCCGACGTGTCCCTGCCTGTACGCCCCATACCGGCCTGTGCGTCTCTCTTTGAGAATATTCCAAGACATAGACAGGGACAACCTGTTCCACCGCAAACGAAACCCTCCCTAGTAACAGAGCAACTCAACCTCTTCTCTTCGACACCCGCTGTTTGGTATACATCTCTGGCCACTAAACAAGCCTTCGCCAAGAAACATCAACTTTATCCCACGTACAGGTATCCGGTCCATGGCCGAGCGACATTTTTCTACTGGACGCTTCGGTAAGACCAGATACGCGCCCGCATATCACCAGAGCCGGTGGCGAAGTAGCCGCCCGTTGGGCTAGGAGCAACTGAAATGACCGAGTTCTTGTGGCCCTGAAGCATCAACTGCGTAGCGCCAGTGCGGGGGTCCCAGAACTGCACTCCACGGTCCTTGGAACCAGACATGACCCAAGCGGCATCGGGCGTAAGCGCGACAGAGAGAACGAAGTCCTGAGTACATTAGCGAATCTGTTTATGAATTTTGCAGGTGTACAAATCACTTACCCTGTGACCCTCGAAAGTCTTGACGCAACGACCCCCCTTGGGTCCGGGATTGGGCAAGCCGCGAGGGGTGCTGAGCTCCCACATCTTGATTGTCTTATCCAAACTACCACTGACGAGGTCTCTGCCATTAGGAGAGAAGGCAACACTGTAGACGCTGTCCTTGTGGCCATCGGGACCTTCAAGACGCTCGAGCAGGTATCCCTGGTGGATGTCCCAAACGCGGACGCTCTTGTCGAGAGAACCAGCGGCGACATACTGGTGTCGGGAGAAATGGCAACAGTTGTGACACCGTCCTCAATAGTCAAGGTGAGGGTGTTGGTGCCCTGCTCGATATCCCAGAGACGGACGGTTCTATCTCCACTGCCAGAGGCAATCGTGCGACCATCGCGGGCAAAGTCGAGAGAGTAGATGTCTTGCTCGTGGCCGGAGAAGGTGTTGCGAATCGTTCTGGACTGAATGTCCCAAACCTAAGAAAGAAGAGTCAGCTGAGCCCATGGCAAAATGCCTTTTCGGTCAAAACTTACTCTAATCAACTTGTCCTCAGCACCGGTAGCGAGGTACTTGCCATCGGGACTGAAGCAAACGCTGCGAATGTACAGATCACCAGTGATATCCACAGTGTCATCCTGAAGGACACAGAGCTTCTCGCCAGACTGAACATCGTAAATCTGAGCGGAGCGGTTGCAGCCGGTGGCTACGTACTTGCCGTCGTGGCTGAAGCGCACGCAGCAGACTACACTCTCGTGTGCGAGAGTGTGGACAAGATCGACATCCAACATGCGAGGCACGTGTTGGTTAAAGATGACGAACCAGTCGTGACCCGATTTCTTTGAGTGAGGCGGCAGGCGATCAGGGTCAAGATCGCCAAGGGCGTTTCCCACCGGCGGAGCGTGGGGGCCCCCCATCCGCGCGTGGTCGGGAGTAGGATGGCTGACTTGAGGCGACTGGGTGGCGCCCGGGAAAGGAATGGGAGTGTTGATCTGGGGTGTAGCCGGACCGACAGCTGCAGGTGGTCTTCCAATTCCACGTCTGCCCGGACCCGGTGATGCGGTGGTCTGGGGGGGCTGGGAGCCGAGCCCATTAGATACGGGCCCACCGGGACCCGGGGGGTATTGCTGGAAAGGCTGCTGCGACTGAGGCGGCGGCGGAGGCGGGACAGGCAGACCCGGAGGTCCCTGGGCCATCTGATGCTGCGGGCCCATTTGCTGGTCCTGAGGGGGAGGAGGGGGCGGAGGAGGGGCCAGCTGGCCCTGGCCACCACCGGTCATGATACCGTTGAAGAGACCGGTGCCGGGGGTGATGGAAGGGGGCTGTTGCGACGGGCCCGCGTGAGGAGGAGGACCGCCGATGCTTGGGGGCGCGTTTCCACGAGCTCCCTCAAGCTGGCGGCGGAGCATGGCAATTTCCTCTTCATACCTGTTCAAAAGCTCGCTGTTAGCTTCTTGTGAAGGGACTCGGCTCGCAATCATTGACATCGACATACTTTTGCTTGAGGTTCATCTGCGCTTGCTCCATGGCGTACACCTTTTCTCTAACAAGCTGCATCTCCTGAACTTGAGCCTGGACTGGAGATTTCGTTAGCGTGACTGACGATAGGTGTCAACCGCAACTGTCTTACTCTGGTGTTCGTAGCCCTCCGTCTGGCGCATCTGGGTGTCGAACTCGGATCTGATTTGGTCGAGGAGCTCATTGAGCCGGGCCGAGTTATTGGGGGGCACCGCGCCCATGGCGCGATGCGGGTACATGGACATGGTTGCGGTTGGAGTCGACAAGAGTATTCAAGGTCGGAACCAAACAATTCGCGCCGGTGGGGTACGTGGTGTTGAGAGAGATGAAGTGACGGTGTTTATCAGGGGAAATATAACCGTGGGAAGCTGAAAATCGAGTGTCGATGATGGAAAAGATGCGTCGGGTTTGGTCTTGAGGTTGTCGTGGCTCGGAAAATTTAGCTGTTGCGGCTATGGGCCCCCCTTCAATCGGCTGGATGCACTGAGGCACAAGGCGCGATTTGCCTTAGGTAAGGTCTAGGGTGGTTGCGTTGACAGCGGCAGAGCCGTCCAGTCAGGAAAACGCAGATGGGTGCTGCGCGACGCGGATGGATTTCGGTTGGCGTAAGGAGATGATGAGATGGGAAGGCGTTGTGCTCGCGATTGATGATGTTATGTGCGCGGCGCGCGTGTCGAGTCTGTCACGGCGGAGATGGGGGAAAAGAGAGGAAGGGGAAGAAAAGTTCGGGTTAGGCAAGGCAGGTGGAAGGAGAGAAAGAGACCCGTCCAGAAGAGGCTGGCGAGTGGAACGAGAGGAGACGGCGCAAGGTGTAAGGTGCACAGGCGAAAAAAGAAGACGGATGGGAGCCGCCTGGGGATTTGATCCAAAGGTGGGTACCCCATCAGAGGTGAACTGCTCTGTGCCGCCCCCCCTGGATCCAGGTGCACGCCAAGCTAAGGTAGACGACCGGGAGGTAGCTGGGTCAGTTGCGATACATGCTCAAGATACAGCGGTACGGCACTAGGGGACCGCAAGCGAGCGTTGACGGGTATGGAGCAGGCATTACGGGCGACAGTCATGTAGCGTCAGGTATCGACCGGGACATCGCTACAGAGATGGAGTCCAGGTCTGTGCGTTTCTATGTTTTTTGTAGTGTATCTTTTTATTTTCTGACGAGCTGGCTCCAAAGGTGGGTCCCTTTCCATGTGGCGCCTGCTCCCAGCGGGTGTGGGTGGTTTCAATCTGCCCAGGCTTGGGACTTGGTACGTGGGTACCTACATGTAGGCGGCGGCGACTGAATCGGTTCAGTAGGGCAGGGGGACCTTAGTGTTGACGCTAGCTCTCGGAGCGGGGGCGTGTTACTAGTGGGGCGATGGGGTATAGGTGCAGCCCGCACTCCGTACCTCGTGCGTACCTAGGTACCTCAGTCTCGCAAACCTTCAGGTCCCGTTCTCACCAGCCTCGATGTTGCTCCCGCCTTCTTGACTGGTTACCTGCATCGCCCAACCTGGTAGGTAAGCAACAACTTGATATAAATCCCCGAGTTGGTTCATTTCAAAATCTTGGTGTGGCATTTCCTGCCTCTGTGTCCATTGGCTCGCAGATGCTTACACTGATGTTATATCCGTGGAAGACCTGCTACTCAGTAAGGTACATTCGGTCAATTTCGCGCTTTGTGAATTTCTTGCTTATCTACCTGGCGTACCACGCGATTGCCTACGTTACCGATGAAGCCTGATTTCTACTACAGCTAAGAGTCCACAGCATCGCCAGAGTCAACTGCGGTGGTCTGACAAGAAGTCAAGCCCCGTGTGATTGAGCGGGACGAACGATATCATCATGGTAGTCCTGGACGTGAATATATCGCAATGTTTACTAAACACCACAGTCGACAGGCTTGATATATCTAGCTGGTTGATTCCAGAATCCGAAGCGTCGCTTTCTAGCATGGGCATCGGAAACTTTACTCTGTTCCACAAGTGAAGAAGCATTTTGGATCGTGACAGGAGTACGAAGCAGATTCTGTCCGGCAAGGAGAACCCGCTCGACCGTTTTCCCAAACATCGGCAGAGCTCCGTGCAAGCTCGCGGCCCCAAAACCTTCGGACTGCAAGTGCTGTTTATTCGCACGTACGCCGCTGCGGACGGATGTCACAACCCTGGCGGCAACCAACAAAAAACGCGTCCATTCATAGCCACGTACTACAGCGAGTGTATTTGTTACCGGCACGCTCTTGAATTAATGTGACATCGAGACAAGAGATGTTGTGCGGAAATGGGGGTTCGCCTGCATATAATTATTATGGGCGGTAGCCGCCAGAAGGAAGGCCAACTCTAGGAGGATCATCAGAAGTAACAGAGTGGATTTGGGGGGGGGGGGGGGTAAAAGTGCGGGCAGGCAAGCAGGTGGCTAAGGTGTGACGGTAGGGTAGGGTATTGCAGAAGAAGGCAGTTTGGGGAGTTATCGTGAGATGCAGCGCTGCCGCATGGAGATGCGCAACACGGAGATGCGGCCGACGAGGTGGCACCCACAACTGGCATGGCAGTGAGGCACCCACCAAAGCACCAGAGCACAAGCATCCAAGCACCCACTGGGCCAGGGCAAGCCGCACGGGGGGAGGGGTGGAAGAGGTGTGGATAACGCGTGCGTGGTACAGGGTTTGAGGGGGTGAAGCTGTGAACTGTGGATGGGTGGGCCATGGGTTGTGGTTGCGGGTGCGGGTGCAGATGCAGAATGTTCCATTGGAAGACGTGACGGGTTTCTTAGCTTTGAGGGCGGCTGCTGAGGAGCGAGGCACGGCAAGGGTTCAGCGAAAGGGGTGTGTGCGTGAGAGGAAAATAACTAGGTAACAGAGAGAGAGAGAGAGAGAAACAGGAGAGACAGAGGAGGGAACCTGAGTGAAAGGGGGGTCGAGGCACGAAATGGAAGTATCCGTGCCGTACTTACTTGCGTACAGTATAGCACGGAGTAGTATACAGGACGAGAGGCGTGTGGGTGTGATGACTGTGAGTGAGAGGGTTGTGTCCGTGGTGGATCGTCTGGTCTGGTATCCGCAGAGCAAAGATGGAAACGAGGGAGAGTTTGACGACGTCTGAGAACCGGGAGAACCTGCGTCAACCTTGCTAACTTATTAACGGCCTAGCGCCTGCGCGTGTGCTTGAAGCCTCCCTGTTCTCTCCTACATACCTTCCTAACTTCCTTGAGGAGGGTTATCTGTACAGTAATGTAGATGGTAACGCAGTTTTCGTATATACGAGTGGTAAAAGGTGGTAAACCCGCACAAGAATACAGATAGGTTCCTGTCAGAGTAAACATTAATTGCCGCTTCGGGATATGACAATTCTTGGGTGGGCCAAGGTGAGAAGACGACATCTCACCTAGGTGATCTCAGCTCGTAGCCACACCGTATGGGTAGTTGTAGCCGCTCATCGAAGATACCTTGACCAACATAAACCGCCCGGAGAGCACACTTTCCTCTCATCTCATAGTTGGGGCGCGGCGCGGAAATAATGAGTGATGAAGCCCCCCGCAGGCAATAAGGTTGGGAGGGCGACCAAGCATGTTGCGTTCTTCGTCCATCCACCCGCCGTGTCACACACACCAAGGATCATGGCCCTTGGCCTGTGCTGTGGCCCATCTTATCGTGCCATCCTACTCTTTACCATCCATGGAAGCTGCCGAAACGTTCCATACCCGTCGGGCTCGCTAGCCTTTAGATGTTGTCAGGTTCTAACTTCTCCTGACATGTACATACGAGAGGAAGAGGATGCCGAAGATGAGAAAAGGCAAAGACTTATTCCATCGGTATAGACCCACGTACAATTGGCAGGACCTTCAGCGACTCCCCCCCCCCCCCCCGCGTCTCGGCATCGCCAACACAATGTCATGGAGGCATTCCCGTTGTCGCATGCATGCGCCATGCAATGCCATTATTAGCGCGATTACGGTGGTACCAGGCATTCATGAGCGCACACTACTGTGCAGTCCACACACAAAACTCTGGGGGACTTTGTTGGAGCTGTGGTGGTAGCACAGGTCTTGCCCCATTCCACACCCTCTCTTGACGATGATTTCTTTTTTCGCTTCGATTTCATTCCTTCTTCCTCTCTTGTACATATTCTGCTTATTGCTAGTACGCGCGCAAAACCACCCTATCGACAGGAATATGACCAGATTGATCAAAGTGCAACACACTATCCGTAGACATTGTCAGCGACCATATCAGGCCACACCACAAAGCTGCGGAAGCTGACAACAGCGGCTTGGGTCTGCAGATGAAGACGCCTCTTATTATGTCGCCGTGTCTGAAAGTTATGAACAGACAGAAAACACACGGTGGATCTCGATGAGCTGGAGGGAGGGGGATTTGTTTTCGAGCAACTCAATACTGTGTCTTCTTGACTACCATATCAATCGGCAGACCAAGCGAAGCAGGCACAACAGGTTGCCTTAAGTTCCTGGCTACTTTGGCATGGTTGGAACCAGTCACCCTATTTCGTTAATCTGCATCAATCTTTTAAATCCCCGGTTGACATGCCACGACTACAATGTGTTCCGGACAGGTCCATTAGCTGTCGGCGGGTGTGCACCCTCTTTCGGAGTGAAGATCCAGACCGCTCAGGAGAGTGGCTGAGGCAAGAGGGTCAACAAGGAGGGGTGCGAAGCGCGGTTGGCGATGGCCGCATAATGAGGTGCCCCCCAACATCAGCTGGCGGTCCCGGGACAAACAAGGCGGCGGTTCTGGGTGCCTTAGCGTTGGGGGTTGAATATCGGAAGGGTAAGGTGAGTTCGGGTAGAATTAGAAAGCCCAAGCCGATTGAGCGGAGAAGGTACCTGGCTGAGGTAAGCAGCCCTGATGGGTCCGTGGTGAGACTCGGTCAAGACGGTTCACCGAGCGATGAACCTTCCAGGCGGGCCTGTAGTACCGCTGGCCGTCCTGAATCTTCTCCTGTTGGCGTATTTCCATTTACCACAGCATAAGCGGTCTGACAATTATACGCCAGGCATTCCGTTGGCTCATCAGGATATAGAGATCGACGAAATGTTAATTCTTCCCTCGACGCTTCACTGTATCAAGGCTGAGAGGAAAGCACTGCTGATATACTTCCAGTTGGAGGCTCATCGAGCTGACTCTCGACAGGATAGACATAGAGTACGACCCCAGTCACTCCGCCGAAGCGCCGGTGCTCAATGGCCCACCTTCGACAGACACGCTTCGGTTTACCGTTCAACCGTCATTTTGCAGACGTTCGAGACACTCTTC